CTCGGTGCACTAAGCTCTTGCTATGCACGTGGTCCAGGGAAGATCCAGACTAGAAGGGTTATTGTACGCAACCTTGCCCTGCATTTTCTGCAAGAGGCTATTTCCACAGCTCGAACACGTGACCTCCTAGTCACATAGCAACAACTTTACCAATTACGCCAAGGCTCCCCTTTTAAAGGTTTATCATGAGAGTTCAATACAATATGAATGCCACTGGATTAAATCAAAGTGCATCTAAATCAAGATACAGTCCTGGACAAAGTCCAACAGAATCTGCATCATGAATACCAAGAACTAACACATAAAATTCATGAATAGTACACGTCAATTCTCATTGATGCTCATTAATTAAGACGGTATCTTAAAGCAGCTTCCACAAAGTAACTACAAACTAATCAAATTAAGTACCTGGTTTGAAGAAAACTGACAATCCAAAATCAATAGTTTTGAGAAGTGAATCCTCCTTCTGATCAACAAAAAGGAAATTTTCAGGCTTAAGATCACGATGCATGACACTCAGCGAATGACAAGCTTCAACAACTCCAAAAATAGTCCTTGTGAGCTCAGCTGCTTTTCTTTCTGTATAATGCCCCCGCTGAATAATCCTATCGAAAAGCTCACCTCCAGCACACCGTTCCATAACTACATGAACAGCTACCGCATCCTCATAAGCCCCTTTTATCGATATAACATTCGGATGCCCTGCTAAGTGATGCATTATCTGAATTTCCCTTCTAACATCTTCAACATCATCATCTGTCAACAACTTCCTCTTAGCAATCGATTTACAAGCATACTCTTTCCCTGTCCCTTTTTCGACACATTTAAATGTAGTCCCAAATTGTCCTTGTCCTAATTTCTTCCCTATACTGAAAAACTCCTTTAAGTTGCCTGTTTTCTTCTGTAACACAGAATCAGTCTTAAGTCCTGCACTACCTACCCTCTTCATCTCTACCGCCTTCTTAGGCTTTACCGGTTCCTCTTCCTTCTTCACCGGTTCCACTTCCTTCTGTTCAGACTTAGGCATTGTCATCTGTTCAGGTGCCCTATTTTGAACTACCAAATCAGGGTCTTTCCCAGATTCTACTGTTCCACCCCTACTACTTCCACCATTAGTGGTGGAACCAGAGTCATCCGGCACCCGAGCCGGCCACATTGCAGCTGAAACAGACTGCAAGAACCTATTTCTAGAAATACTAGGTCCAACACAAGTGTTCCCCATTTGACACTAATCTCAAAATCCAATCTTTCACTTCCCCAACGGTTCAATATCTTATATAATTACAAACATAGCTCTATAATGGCCACTCAAAATCAACAAGATCTTGATAATTTCAATCAAATAATCAAGAAAAAGTCAAACCCTTCTCTATCAAACACAACACTAGTCAAAAAAGTAGTAAAATCAAGAACTTGTTCCACTTCAAGTATAGCAAATCAAGAAACAAGAAGAACCCAAAAACCTATCTAAGTAAGAATACAAGTTCATGTAATTAGCAAAATAACTATGCACCCATTGATAAGAAATTGAATAAGCAATCCAAGTAGATAAATTAATCAAAGAAAAAAGACAAAGCAAAAGCCAAATAATCCCAAGAATGATAAAAAGTCTTGATCTTTGGATAAATATTCAGAAATTTTTGTTATTACATTTGAGGAAGTCAAAAGAACAGCTTAGTGACCAAGGTAAGAAAAGAAGTTTCTCAGCATAACAAATGAAAATTGGTCTGTAAGGGTTTATGTTATTTAATTAATAATTTAAAAAAAGGAAAAAAATAAATAAATATATATATATATATATATGATTTTCTCCATTTCGTGTCTGATATCTATATTCGAGTCCAATTACATTCGAATTCGTCTCCAAAAGTCACTCTTTAGGTGTAAAGCACTCCCTAAAATAAGATGACTCCCTACCCAAGAATTCGAACCCGAAAGCTGATTAAGATTGAAGGACTCCCTTTGTCTCGATTTATATGATACTTTTTGTTTTTCGAGAGTTAAACAATTTTAAGTTTGACCGATTAATCTTCATATTTGTTTGAAGAAATGAAATTTATATATTTATAAACAAAGTAAAAAGTAATATAAATCATAATAGTTGATAGTTCAAAATATTTAAAAGATTTATAAAAAAAATTACTATAAAATGCAGATTCATTTAAATTTCAAAATCTAAAAATTAAGTGTTACATAAAACGAAACAAATAGCAATATATATTTATTACACGTTTTTCCATAAATATGGTTAGTTGCCATATAATTATAAATTAGAAGAGACCCACAAGAAAAACGCGTTTTGGTTGGATATTCATAGGATTATTTGTGTCAACTTTGGTGGGTTTGGCCAATATTTACTTTAATTTTACTCTTATATTTATTTATCATATATCGTATCGGAATATGACACAAATAAAATAGATGTCTGTCTCTAGAGTTTTGTATGATAAAAAAAATTATTTTATTTAAATTTAAAGATAAGTTTTATAAAGTGATTGATTGGACTCCTTGTTGCATGGACGAGAGCGTTGTCAGTCAAGCACTCATATGCTGAAAAGATGCATGTTGCGGAGGTATTGTTGAGATGGATTGATGTGTGGGCATACTAGGAGAGACATAATTAGGAAGTGGTCTTTGTTATGGACAAGATGAGGGAAGCGAGACTGAGATGGTTTAGGCATGTGAAGAGCGAGAGGATGGTTGTAGAGGGTACATATGCAGAAGGGTAGAGGTACATCGAAAAAGTATTGGGGAGAGGTGATGATATAGGACATGACACAACTTCATATTACCGAAGGCGTGACTCTAGATAGAAAGGAATAGAGGTCGTGTATTAGGTAGAAAGGTTAGTAGGGTTAGAATGTTGTTTCGCTTCGCTTTTGTTATCTGTCGGCATATATATATATATATATATATATTATGTATTGTGTTTCAATTATCACGTTATTTTGTTGTTAGTATTGTTTCAGTCTTGTAGGCTATAATGTTGCTTTTCATATTAACCCCGTTATGCTTTTTTACCATTTTCTTTTTTTTACTGAGGTTTGATGCAATTGAACAGAGAATTTTTCGAGAATAACTTTTCTATTTTCACAAGACAGTGATAAAATCTACGTATACTCTATCGACAAACCCCACTTAGTGAAACTTCACTGCGAACGTTACTAATGCTATTTATCTACCATGAATGTTTAACTTTATTAATGCTATTTTTTCCTATTTGTTTCATTATAGTTGAAATTAAATAATTGAAAAAAAAATAGTATAGTGTGGGCCTATTCAAAATCCACAATTGTTGCCGGCAAATACGCAGAAAATCAATACACAAAATGCAATTTATGTATCAGTATTTAATAAACAAAATAACTTTAAACTATAAAAAAGAAAAAAAAATATGTATCATAATTAAATAATATCACCATTAGTGAAAACCTCCACTACTTGAAAAGAGAAAAAGGACAAATATAAATCCAAACTATCGTAAATAGTATGTAAATATCTCTTCGTCATATTTTAGGAACATTTTTGCCCCTGTCATTCAAAAACTAGAGCGTATATGCTCTTCGCTCTAACGGAAGACTAAATAGAGAAACATAGCACAATCTGATCTAATGTCGAATTGATGGATAAAATTATAACAGGTTTATGTCAGTTAATATTAAGGGTATCTATGCTCTAATTCTAATGTCCCTAATGTATGACGGAAGGTATCCGCATGCCATTTACGATATTTCAGGAATATATTTATCCTTTTTTCCCATATGAAAATTACATAACCAAAATTATTTATTTATTTTTATATTAATTCTTATTAATGAAAATTTTAACTCCGCTATTAATCGTATTAATGGTGCATGAATTCCTTTACTATGATTTTCCAACCTATTTTCATAAATAATAACGTAGAGAAGTTGGTTTACTAAGACGGCAAGTAATTATTTATTCTTGTCATGTTTTTTTGGTGCTCCTATAAAAAAATAAAATAAAATAATTATGCAAGGTGTAAACTCTTATATAAAAAGGGAAATCAAACTATCGTAAATGGTATGCAAATATCTTCCGTCATATTTTTGGTACATTGATGCCCTTGCTATCAATAACTAGAGCATATATGCCCTTCACTCTAGCGGAATACTAAATAGAGACACGTGGCGCAATCTTTCTATCGATCCGATATCAGTTCGGTGGATAAGATTATGACACATGTATATCCGTTAGTATAAATGATATATATGGTCTAGTTTATGGATGATAGGGACACCAATGTTACTAAAGTATGACGGAGAGTATCTGCATTCCATTTACGATAGTTCGGAAATATATTTGTCCTTTTTCCCTTAAAAAAATCAACATGCTTATATATAAGAAAAAAATAATTAAGATGATTAAGAGCATTTCCGTTCTCATTGACACGATGCAAATCTGAATTAGCCAATGCAAATGTGAATTAGTCAAACCTAAAATAGTTAAGAGCACTTCCGTTCTCGTGGATCCTACACGATGCAAATCTGAATTAGTCAACCCTATGCAAATATGAATTAGTCAAACCTAAAATAGTTAAGAGAGTTTCCGTTTTTAATCTTACACTATACGAATCTGAATTAGTCAAAAACCTAATATATACGGGTTGATGATTTGACAAACAAAACACAAACATAATAGGTACCAAACTAAGCATATAATAAGCAGAAAAAAGAGTACATAAAACCTGAGAAACTATGAACAACCAGAAAACTTTATCTAAAAGCCAACATATTCGATGAAAAATATCGTTACACTGATATAGTACACCTCGATAATCGACGATATATTACATTTCAATTAGTAAAAAAAAAAAAAAACGAATATACAACACGCGATACGCAACATCAGTCGATGATGTTACTTCCACTGCTAGAAAAACATTACAGTTTCTGTGTATTCACTTCATTTTATAGTGAATAGTCACATTTTTAACAGTGCAGATAACATTCATTACCGATGAACGATCATTTCATCCATCACATCTCAATGTCTTCCAGCTCCGGCAAAGGAAAACGAAGGATTGCAGCAATGCCGGTTAGCTGATTCAATTCTGTGACGAAAACCAAAAGTTGTTTTAATCAGCCTTGACAAATATGCAGTAAAGAACGTGTGTTCGTAGGAAGGAAAAAGGATTTGAAGCGACTATGGGACAATGAATATGTGCACAGAAGGAAAATACCATTCTAAGCATTACTAGGGGGCGACAGGGAAAGGCAGAGATGAAAATGCTGGGAGGAAAAAGAAATTAACAGGAATTGTATATACTCACGTTCTCCGGAGACATGCATTGACGAGAAAATGAGAGCAGTACCACCTGAATCCTTGACTGAATCGACCAAATTAGCATACTTTTTCCTCGTTTCTACATCAGAACTCCTGTCAACAGATCAAAAGAAGTTGGATATTTCTCATGTACGATATCAACCAACTATATATATACAGCACGAGTGAAATGGCCCATACATAACTGGTTGAGATTTGAAGATAGTTATACATGTTTACATATTATCCTATGAACCAAAGATGTCGATTTTAAAAGCTAAGCACGTAAAAAGAGATACTTATGAACTTGAAATATGCCACGAGTTGCAAATTTATATCAAGCTATATACAGTTTAATTTTATTGCTCATAAAGCCCCCATTAACCTGGGACCATAAGATACTCACCTAAAGAGCTCGTCAGTAATGAGAAGTGTCTGAATAGCCAGACGCTCATGGGCAACTTCAACATGCTTTGGTCCATAGCATGCACGATCAGGATCCTAGAGAAGTCCAAATAAAGTAACTTCAATTTTCACAAGTTTCGGGTAAAGAAACACACTACAAGGATCTATTTGTTGACAACTGGAAGTAAACTTCATGCAGGGGCTCATTAATATAAATGTTAAGAGATCCAGAAAAAGGGACATGACTACATTTATTGCAAGAAGTTATAACAAGAGAGGGAAAAAAGTTTTTAAATAAAGATGTTATCCTTCTTAGTTTCTTCAGAAAGCTTGAAAAGCGGTATCATAAATATCCAATTAATATCATAATTCATGAAATATGCGGGGCGGGGCGGGGGGTTCAAACAAGCACTCGCTCTAGCAAAAGACCTCTACATCTAGCATCCCTAAATTATGTAATGTAACTATAGTTTTTAGACCTAAATATCCTTAAAACCAGAAAATCAAGCACACGCATATTTTTAATTAAGACTTCCTTATCGTATTTTCTGTCTGCAAAAAAGTAAAGGAGAGGGCACATCAGATGATAAATTCTCTCGTACCGATATGGCCAAAGCATTGAAGAGAGATACTCCTATTACTACAGTAAAATTGCATATAAAATCAAAAGATGAAAGAACACAACTGAGATGCCCTAAAATTTAATAGAAGTTCAAAGTTGTTGATGATTGGATATCTGAGAATTATGACGGATCCTTGCTGAAAATAAATTCAACCAAGGTTGGTTGCAAATGAATTTTCAGCATTCAATTGGTAGAAAGGCCTAAAAAAAGGCACACGCAGAGATAACAATATCACCAGCTGCCCATCATAACACAACGTATCTGTTCTTAATCTAGAAATATTTCAGATTAGTCCACCTCTCCTTAAACAGGGATATCCGTCATGCATAGTTAAACACCTCAAACTTTTATTTGAAACTCTCAGGCCTCTTACAGAACCCAAGATAACCGATAAACACCAAAAAAAGCAAACAAATAAATTCAAAACCAAACAATCTGTGTTTACTCTTAGCATATGATAGATAAAAATCTGAAACATCCAAAGTTATTAAGAAAAATATAAATAGAACATTGAGACCAAGGATAGAACCTAACATTTGAAAGCATGTTGAAAAAATCCTTTAGGGCTTGAACCTGATTAAGATTGGAAGAGAAAGGAAAACAGTTATTCCCAAAAAATACGAAAAAAGACTTGAACAAACACAAGAATAAAGATTAAAGATCATATCAAGTTGGACAAGGGTCAGAAGGTACCTCTTTGGCAGCTTTTGTATCTTTTATCATAGTCATTACATTTGGGGCATCCATAACCTCTTTCAAACTATGTCTGTAAAACGAGGGAAAAAAAAAACTCTCGGCCTTAAACACCCGTGCTGGATAATAATTGAACTTTTACATATCAACTACAATAGACAAATAATAAAGGCGATTTGTACTAAAATAGCAGTACTGACGAGAGAATCGCGTACACAAAAATGTATTGCTACATATTAGTCAATTTTAGACTAGCACGCATGTCTAACATCATATGGTTTGCACAAAAATGTATTGACTCGTTTTGAGATGTCAGATGAAGGGCAAGGAGAGAGAGAAAGAAGGGCATACTTGTATCCCGAGGTTGTATGGACAAGAATTATGCGTGACTTATTTTCTATTATAGGTCTTAGTTGCTTCCTCTCGGCTTCCAACAACAGGTGACGATGAAACTGATCCTGCACATTCAACACAAAAAAGTTTAAATGTCACAACTGAATTAACATATGCATAGTACAGATATAATTAGATATGCAAGTTCTACCCCTTGTAACATAGCATAAAAGTATGACTAGCTAAGAAGTGTAACTATACAAAAAATACCTTGGTGAATCCTGGACTTGCAATCACAGCACAGCGAACTACTTTGAAATCAACATGCTTGACAAAGGCCTGCAACAGAAATAAGAACCTATAACATATTGCTTCTGGAAATTAAGCAACATCAAGAAAGTTGACAAAAGTCTACCTGTAGAACATTGTCAAAGAATTTATTTAACGCCTGCAAATCAAAATTAAGAACACAATTTCACTTGACGTCATGTTCAAAATAATTAAATTATACAAAAGATGAAACAAAAAGAAGTAAGAGACTCACCTTATCATAACCTGCAATAGCCGGTCCATGCTTGCGCGGTATAGAAGACTCTATACGAGAACGGGTGATAGTCACACTGTTCAGACAACAGTAACAAGTACATAAGGTAAAATTATGCCATACAATCTAGTTAACACTTAACTCAGCCTCAACATATAGAAATTCTGACATAATCATTCGACTTTTAAACTATTACATCTCGTTTAAATACAAGAAAAGGAGATGCTCAAGATCTGTTTAAAACTTGTATTCATAGGACTATGAGATTGTCAAGCTTACCTTTTACCAATAAGAAGAATGTGTGCCAATCCTTCTTGCATCAGAACCACAGCCAGATCAGCACTTGCAGATGGATCTGAATCATCAAAAAGGAAAACCGTATTCAGCATATTGAAACGGTAAATCTAAGAGCAGTACAAAGTTACAAACACATATCCATGTTGGAATCAATATAGCTGAATATCAACAATTATATAGGAAACTTCTCATCAGTTCAAAAGCACTCTGCAACACACATGTACTTGCAGCGAATAATCATGTTCTCACTGCAAGTGTACGAGTAAAGAAGAAAACCTCTGCAACATAAGGGCTAAAAGACACCTAGACTGAAACAATCCATCTAAGAATAATGCACCTATAAAGTGGTTTCACAATCATGTCAATGTACTAAAAAGAAGCAGCAACATGTTATAGAACTTGATAAGTTATGGATGAAAAGTCAGGCTATGAACTAAAATGCCTAATATTGCAGATAAAGTTAATGGCAACACTTGAACAAATAAAAATATAACTTTGTTAAAGTGCACTGTGAAAAATACCAGAAGCTTGACGAAGAACCTCCCGTGCCAGTGAGTCCCAGACCACCTAAATCAGATAATGCAAGTCAGAACTCATATATGTATAAGCTTTCGTATAAATCAACTATGTTCAGGTAAGACTAAGATTGAAACAAACAAGATGCTCATATATTTGCTAAACAAATAGAATATACAAAAATAATAAGGAAGATGACACAGGAAAATAACGATTACTTTGAGTAAAAATAAATTCAAAATAATTCATGTACATGCATTAGATAGGATTATACATAAACAAAAGTTTTAAATAAAAGCACGCATACCTTCTAAGAAATCTTATTTTGATAAGTTTATACCCTTTTAAGTAATAAATCCAGTAGTAAAAGAAATTATGGAAAATTTCATTCGACCTGTACCCGATCAATATAATTTCAAGTTCACATGTAATTCTTAGCCCAGACATCAAGTTCACATGTAATTCTTAGCCCAGACATTTTTAGGCATTTATATTTCGATTGGGATACTCCTCAATTTCCTATAGAAACCTCTAGTTACAACTACAAATGATTATCTCCTAATTCAACTTCTATGACTCATTAGCCTCTAATTATAAAAAGACACTTATTTAGTTATACTTAATCTATGCAGCAACTTTGTATAATGCAGAAAAAAATCAAGAAATCTTACCAAATTCCATGTACTCCTATGTGTACGAGAAGAATTTCCCCTACCTGAACTTATATTGTTGCATCACTTAAGTATATATTACCTAGGCTACACAAACCGTCACTTATCTTATCATGCCTCAGCCCTACCTGTGTTGGACGAACTAGGGGGCATAGATCCTTCAAACTACAAAGAAACAAGCTGAGAAAAGAAACTAGCCCCCTCAGACCAAAGTCCATAGAATGTATAATATAGGAGTTAATAATAGCTTAATAAGCATTAATGCTTTCGGATAATTTTCGAACCATTGTACACTTGTTTATGAGAAATCAACGACAATATACTTCGGGTTCCCTTTTTTGGTGTGTGCCGAAAATGTGTAGCTATTTCTTGGCTTATTTGGCATGGAATTAGTCATGATGATAACCAAGGTGGAATCATCATTAATGTAGAAGGGTTGTTCCATCTAGAGACAGAAAGGAGGTATCGTATGTACACCTTTCGTGCAGGATGTGAACTACGTCAAAGGACAGGAACACGAGATGCCTCGAAGGGGTGTCAGCGGCGGGACAACTGAAATTTAGCGGGAAAAATTAAACTTAGTTTCAAGTAACTGCACCCAAGGGGTATGGTCTAGCGGCCAATGAAGTGAGTTAAGAGTCATAAGATCTTAGGTTCAAATCCAACCAGAGGCGAAAAACACTAGACAATTTCTTCTTATTTGTCAAAACCTTGATGGAAAGAGTTACCCTGTAGGCGGTAGCTGTGTTGGTGGAAGTGGTCGAAGTGTGCACAAACTGGCCCGGATACCAAGGTTATTAAAGAAAAAAAAGGTACTCTTCTTCTTTTTCCGGGGATTTTATAATAATAATGTAAATTACATGAATAACTTTACAGATTTTTTTACTTGTTAGAGCCTAAGTTGCGGACTCTTCACTTACAATGCCGCACCCATGTCGGATATTCCAAAACACGCTATTTTTGGAGAATCCGACATGCACCAGTTGACATTTTTGAAGAGTCTGAGAAACATAGGTTAGAGCTGCAATCCTAAAGAACATATATCACCAGCTTGATAGCTTTTAAAGTGCAAATAATATACCTCAAAATTTTTAAAAGAAAACAGAGTGATAGTTGCAAAAGAATCAAAACACAGCATTGTACCTTTCTTAGCACAAAAGGTCTGTGTTGCTCAATTTCCAGAGTGTGAAAGGCCCCTATCTGCAATAAAATAATTAGATACATTTTTGTTGCAGCATCAATATTAGGAATTTATCCAAAAGGATTAAGTTGAAGAATACACACCTTTACATGTTCATTCTCCAGAATATTCTTCCCGCGAATACGCAAGGCAGAACCTTCTTTGTCATACTCCACATTCTAAAACACCAAATTGATTATATTATACCACATTGGAGTGGAATATATTCAAATAAAAACTCTAGAAAGAGCACTATCTATTTCCTACTTTCCAGTCACATTACAATTGTCATCATTACTATGGTAACAAAACTATCAACATCGCATTTATTGAGATTAGTTAGAAATGGAGCATTGTTATGTGACAATTTATCATGCATATGTCATACACGGGTTGTATTGATATCCTCAAAATTCATCAAACTGCCCAAAAATACTTCATCTCGACCACATTGGAAAAGGAAGACAAAGAAAAGTCTCCTCTCTATCCTTAGTAGATTCTTCTCTATAGTTAATTGATTTCAAAGTTTTATCTTTCAATTTATATTAAAACACCTTATGCTGGAAGCTAAAACAAAGTTCTAACCAAGGCCCGCACCCCACAACTGAATGATGCTGGATGTCTAATATATCCTTACCTCAACTTTAATTTCCAATTTCAGTTTCACTCGTTCAGCATCTCTTCCTCCAGAAGCAGCTTCCCTCAGGACCTTCCTACAAGAAATTACAAGCAAAATTTAACCAGCTTCCAGTAGGTTGTGTTGTGACAAGCTAAACCGTGTTAACAATCAGCAAAGACCCACATAGCATAATTTGCAAAAGAAAGTTGCTCTCAACATTAAAAAAGAGTCTTCCCCTAAGCTTTAAGCAAAACAAATATAACAATACTATTATCAACCTGTGTAATCAGTAGAGACTCACACTATGCTCAAAATCCATTTTCCTTATAGTAACATTGTCATTCACAATTTCAGCAAACAACAATAACAACAACACCTCAGTCCAAGCAAGTTCAGGTCGTATAAATGAATCCTCACTGACCATGTAACTCCACAGTTTATATAAACTCATCTCAGGCCAATTTAGACAAATTTAACTAGAATTTAGCACAAATCTGATTAGAGTCTAACTATTTATAGATTACTTTCGCACATCACAGAACACTACATTTTCTAAGAATTAGCTAATCAACGAATAAAACAACAAAAATTGATGCAGAAATTAGACATTTACGAGAACGAGAGCAATTAATATGTTATCCAAAAAACATAAATTTTCAATCAACTCAACAGGATGAGAAACATTAACAAGTGTAGAGAATCAACTATGTAGTTATAAACAAAGTAAAAAGCTCCAAGCTTTCGAATGAACAGAATTCGAACCTAATTAGCAAGTGACATCCATATTCAAATTAAAAACTCCATCTTTCAGGATCAAAATTTCTTTTTAAAAAAGGCAAGACGCTAGCTTTTTAGTAATTCTTGTAGCACCGATGAGAAACCAAATACTCCCCCTGTTTTAATTTGTTTATCCTACTTTTCTTTTTAGTTTGTTCCAAAAATAATGTCTCTTTCCTTATTTGGCAACTCTTCTATTCGACTTTCCACCTACCATATTTAATAGCACAAGATAAAAGACCAAATTCCGTACATCCCACAATCTCTTTAGTTTAAAGACCATGAGATTCAAAAGTCGTTCTTTACTCTCTTTTTTAAAAAACTCGTGACAATTCAAAACCAAACAAACAAATTGTAACGGAGTAAGGGAGTAGTATAAACTAAATGCTTCTTATAGTAAAAACATGTTTTTCTACAAAATCTCAAACTTATTACATACGCGAATAAAAATTACTTATTTATCCCAAAAAAATTGCTAATAATGCTAAGCCCTCACACTAATAAAATTGAGCAAAAGTGCAATACCTAACAGTAACAGCTAATACAGTATCACCTTCAGCTATCAGATTATAAGCAACCCATAGATCATCAGCTTCTTCTGGAATTATCTGTATAACACATGAAAATTAAAAAATAAAAAATACCCAAATCAATTTTAACGTTTTCTTCATCTGGGGTTTCAAAAAATCACGAAAATTACTCGAATTATAGATTTAAACAACAATTATAGAGATAAAAAAGTTACCTTTACACTACCAGAACCATCAGGAACAAAGTCTCTACGAACAATCTTCATATTGAATGAAACAAATTTATCAACTTAATGAAAAATTCAATAATTTTGCATGTAAATAGCAGAAAAAAAGATGAATTTAAACAACTTTTTATAGAATTTTTTTCGTATGAGATTTGCTTCAGTTCAATGGAGAAAAGACTTTTTATAGGTTTTAACGGTTTGTGTCCTTTTAATGTTTTAGGTTTTTCCTAACCTTGTTGAAGAAGGACTTGAATTTTTATTTTTTTGGGAGAAAATGACCAATATACCCTCAATTTTGCAATTTAAAATTAGTATATTTTTATTTTAAAAATATTTTTTTATATATTTGTTGTGTTATATATGATGTTTCTTTACCTTTTCTTTTAACAAATTTATATTTATGGATTTTTTTTTTTAAAAAAAAAAGTATATTTTTGGAAAACTTTCATAAATATGTAATATTAGAAAAGTATTTACCATTTATAGTAATAATTTTACTTTCACTTGATAATTTTTAATACATTTATAATACAGTTTTAATAAGAAGAATTTATAAAATACATATAATACAAGTTTTATTGGTGGATAAAACATATTAATACACATAATACAATGTGTCAATAGCTTACCAAACAAACATAATATATTATAAAACGGTTATAATACACATATATTTCATACATGATATACTTTTTAATACATAGTATTGCATTTATCATAGTATTGTTATATATGGCTATAAATGATAATAAACGAGAAGTATTGCTAATATTAGTGTTATTTATTAGTATCCCTTTAAGTAATTTTTTCCTATTTTTTTTTTAATGTAATATGACTTTAAAAAAAAAATTGTCTCAACTAATTTTGTTTTGCCTCTTCCACTTGATTAGACCTGATTCAAATGAAAAATAAATCAATTTATGTCATACTTAATTAGTTATAAAAAAAATAATTAGGAGGAGACTGATGATGATGTTATCTTAGTATTGAAACAGGTGGATGAAGCATATATTTACATCTAGAGTTTTGTGCGATTAAAATGTAACATTAAAAGCTTAATACTGATTAGTAAAAAAAAATCACATGTTTAAAAATTAAACGTAGCAAAAATAAGGATATTAAAATAAACGTGTGTGCATTTAGAAGAAATAGGATCAAGAATGAAGTTATTGGAGATAAAGTGAGAATGGTTTAATTATGTGGTCGACAGGATGAGAGAGATGAGGCTGGGAAGGTTTGGACATGTGAAGAGAAAATGTATGGATACCCTTTCGAGGAAGTGTCAGAGGTTGGATATAGTAAGGTATCATAAGAGGTAGAGGTAGATTGAAACGATTTTTGGGTGAGCTAATTAGACTGAATATATAATATCTGCAGCTTACCGAGAACATGATTGTAGATACAAAGATATAAAGGTTGAGAATTAGGGTATAAAGTTAGCATGTAGTTGAGTATTGTCTAGTTCTCTTATCAATAGGTTATATCTTTTCGATTATCATATTATTTGGTGTTGCTACTTGTTGGCTTTTTAGTTATTTTCAGCATGTTTTTTTTTTCTCAACTGTTTTTGCCTTATATACTTGATTTTTGATATGTTTACTCCAATAAAGGGTTTAACGGAAACAAACTCTCTACCTTCACAAGGTAGGGTAAAGTTGTGTACACATCACTCTATTCAGACTCTACTTATGGGATTACGTTGTGTACGAGTATAAACCTCTAGTTTGTTTTTTTTTTCCTCTTTTGGTCCATGTTGGGCCCATGAGAAGCAATTTGAAGGGGACCATGATATTGGGCCTAAAATTGAGCCAACCATGACATTGGGCCTAATATTGGGCCAACCATAACTTCACAGTTCACATATATTCACTTGAATTTCGTTTTGTTGTCTTTTTTTTTTCATGCTCAAGAATGATGTATAATTTAGTGATGGATCCAAAAGGTTAAATTTATGTATTTTCAATCATATACTTCTTAATTTATTAGGTTCGAAATACATTATTATCTACTTATACATATTAACATAATTTTTTATTACAATTATAGGATCTGAAACAGAGTATCTAGGATTTCGAAAGGATGAGTGCACTACTTTGAAAAAATGAATCTACAATATAAATTGGACTAATTTGACCTTTAGATTCTTAACATCGAACCTACTAATAATATATATATATATATATATATATACACACACACTTGCAGTGCTAAAATAAATATAAGAATTACCAATATGACATTTGAGAATTTTGATTTATTAAAAAAATTGAAACGCCAAAAGTGTTATTTATAACTATTTGTAGAGGTCAATTTCAGACATGAAAAAAGTAATGTAGATATAAGATATATTACTACTAAGTACTATAGATGACACGTCCTTGATTTGAACTAAACTTATTGAGTTTTGTCTTATCCATAACTTTTGTTACGACTCTTTACTCACGTATATACACAGATAAACAGTATGCAAATTTCAAGATGGAGACAATAAATGTAGTAGTAAATACTCCTCAACTCAAAGGGTTTGAAGTTTGTCGTAGAAATATTTGACCGCTATTGAAATATAAATATCAAATATAAATATATATGATCTTTGTACTACAACTTTGAAACAAGAAGTGTACTACATTGAAATGACACTTCATTTTTAAAAGTTTTAAACCAAGTCACATGGTAAATGCAGAGTTATAGCTCAAAAGAACCAAGAGAAGTACACAAAAACACATTTTTTTTTTCCAATAACAAGGCAGGCTGAAAGGGCAAAATGTCATATGAGTCTTATACATGAAAATAGTAAGTCCATTTGACACATTACTACTCAATCAGAGACTTGAATAAAAGGAACATGTGAACTTTGTCATGTTCCTCCTCACCTCCAAAACCTACTTCATCTGACTAAAATTATTTGTCGTATATCTTTAAATTAAATTATTTGATGAAAATGATTATTTTTTATAAAATTTTAGTTTTTCACTCGTCTCGTTCGAAATCACAAGATCAAAAAATATTTTGATGTGTATATATATATATATATATATTCTCATTTTATCATATAGGCGCCGATTTGAGTCATGAAAATAGAAAGGTGTAGAGTTAGGTGGTGGTTCGCGAGTTCGAAGGAATTCAATGGCTTTTATTGGACTCTATATTAGAAAATTAAATACTTGTAAATCCCCTAATAAAATTGATTGACGACTCATTGGTAAGGAAGGGATCGTGAAAATAGAAAAGGACAAAGCATTTCGCAGGTTCCGATGAATTCAGTAGTTTTTTTGAAGACTCTATAATTGTATTAGAAAGATAAATATATATATATATATATTAACTTGTGAACTCCTTAACAAAACTAATTGATGACTGAATGATAAAAAAAGATCGTAAAAATATTTTTCACACTACAATTATGGATTTGAACCGCATTATTAATAAAAGTTTCTCTTTTCTCTTTACAATGCTTATATCTTTCTATCCTTAAATTTAGAACTGGCAAACTCAATCCTGGCTCCGTCTCACATTAATTAATGGTTGTATTATAAGCAGAATATCTATACTTGCATTTTATCATATAGCTCATCGATTTAAATCGTATAAATAGATATTAATACTTGCACTATGATAGATTGTTAATATTATTATTATTTAAATATATCGTATTTCTATACTTATTTAATACAAAATATTTTGTATATTAAATTATCACGCTTACTTTATACTTTATAATAATTATTCTTGGTAAGAAATAATTTGAGAGGGAGGAAGTGTACAATTTTCCTTCCAAAATTCATCAAATTTTTCTCTTAGCTGTCACAAGTGTCAACTCAATTCTTTCAATTTTTGCCACATTTAATTGGCACCCACTTCAATGAGGTACCACCCCAATGTTTGGACCCACATTTATATTTTTTTTTCGTCTTAAAATATTTATCGTGTTTTTAAAAAATATTAATCAAGTGAGAATAATTTATATGGTGAAACATGATAAAAAAAATAAAATTGAAATGATTCAGACATGTGAGATTGAAATATATAAATGCATTATCTAGTTTTGTATTAACTGACATTTATATTTTTAAGGTGTATACAAGTATACATTTAAGTTTATATAAATTAAATAAATAAATATATGCATTATCATACGTAACATAATATGAGTTCAATATGACATAATATAAATTTACACGAGTAGTTATATAGGACATTTATGTTTACTTGTTTAACTTTATACAAATTTCAATACATATTTATACAGGCTTAAGGTTGAAAGTTATAAATGTCAGCTCAAGCCAAATAAAATAATACGCTTATGTATTACGTCAACACGTAAAAGAAATATGCATGCATGCGTCAACAAAAACTTGAAAGATTATTAAACAAGACGCGATGCAATTGTAGTTTATTAGGGATATGATCCTAAATAAAATAATTTAAAGACAGTAAAAAATTAATAGATAGCCAAGTATTTAGAAACATTAGTATAAATTCCGAGTCACATCTAATTCTAGTCGCTCATATAAAAAATATTTAATTATACATGGATTCAACTTTTTGATTTTTAATAAAGATGAGTTTTATATTTCTGATTAGTTTTTCAAATGACACATTTTACATTTACAATATTATTCGAAATTCTATATTCAAACATAATTTGATTTTTTTAAAAAAAATATTCAACTTCTTTTTTTTTTTTGGAGAAAAAAAGTGACATTTTATTTTTAAAGATGGTGACATATCTTTCACTTGGTCAAACATCTTTTTTTATTTTCGATCAGTTGTTGTCACACTCTTAACTAATTAATGGAGTACTTTTCTGAACATTAATATAAAAAAGGGGCCAAGTGAGAAACTGGCAATATTTTTTAAATAAAAAAACAAACAATTGAGTTAAATTATTCATACTGAAAAAATAATCATGAAGAAATAAATGAAAGGGAGAAAAAGACAAAAAAATAATAATTCCATTTCGATTGAAATATTTTTCTAAACAAAGTTTTCAAATTATAAATTAAAGTTGGAAATAGTAGATCAAAAATGTAAAATCC